ATACTTGTATTATATTAAACTGCACTTCCAATAAATTGCAATAAATCATGGAGTATCCAAGGACACTGGACCCATCCTTCAAAACTGGCAATAAGTAGGACGCATTTGTAGGCTGCAAGGAGTCTTGCAAACCAAACAGACCTCGGCACTGCACTATTACGTAATTGGGCCTTTGAACCTGGCCTTTGGAGGACGCAGCCGCAGAATTCAGAAGTATAGGACGGCTCAGGGTGAACCAGAGTTGTGCCCTGAGGTGACAGGAACTGTTGACAGGTCAAGTCACGGAAGTGAACTACCCTTATAGCAAACTTACCAAGAAAAGCTGGAGATGAGAGGTTTTGAACTGATCAGTCGAACCTCAAAATTAATCCGCCTTCCAAAGACAGATGGAGACGGGTCACCTGGTCTTTTCTACGACCTTAGCTACAAGGCTTGGCTAACTGCATGCAGTGAGGCTAATGCTTTATTCTGCTTTCTCTGCCTCCTTTTTCCAATGTCAGGATCTAAGCCAGCATGGATTAAGACATATAGGACTGATTTAAAGCACTTTTTAGAAAAGGCAAATAAGAATGAACAATCTGGGATTCACATGGAAAATGATATAATATAGTATACTTTTTCTAGGTTTTCTAGGTAATTTGTCAATTTGCATAGTTGCTCTTAAATAAACACATTTTCAGAAAATAAGTAGTTTTTATATAAATATATAAAATAAAGCTGATTAATAGCTTTTCCATTATTAAAACCGTACATTTTGTTTTAGGTTTGTGACACCATATTCGACCTTACAAAACACAGGTTTGCCTTCACAAAGCCTCAGAAGGGCAAGATATATGTACAAACAGTAAATCTGTACATGGAATTATGTTTTTGTTTTTACAAGTGTTTTAATAATGATCTTTGTTGTTGGCATACATATAAATATAGTGGTGTGATAACTTAGTATACGTTTGATTGGTTTTTGGTATACGTGTATTATGAATATATAACCCGCCCTGGAGAAAACTCCACCAGCCGCCACTTTTTTATATTTAAACTTATTTGTAGCATAGCTATTTTTAATATTCCATAATTTAACATTGTGCTGCTCTGAAACCTGCAAAATTAATTTCCTTTCATGTTAACTTGATTGACTAATTAAACTCCTCAAATATGGTGTTGAAATGCCATATTGTTTTCATTTCTCTGCTTCGTATTTAAATGTGTTGATACTCTTCACTAAAGGGAAAACAGGATATGGAGGAAAAGATAGTGTCAAACCAAGTTTTGGACCAAGCAGCAAGAGGTGTCAGGGTTTGGTGGAGTTTGGTTGAGAAATGAGGGCGGCAGAGATGTGTTCTTGTAGGTTTAACGAAATCAAAAAAGGCAACAGAAAAAAAATCCAAGGACAAAATACAGGAAACTAAAAACCAGGGGAAGACACATATGAGGAGAAGCCAGCAATGAGGAAAGAGGAGGTGTATATATGGGAGACAAAACAAAGAATGGGCTAATGAGCTGATATGGGGCAGGTGTGGATAGAACTAGAAGGGAGCTAGGGGAAAGGAGACTGGCACAAGGGTGCAATAGAGAGTACCTCAAAAAATGCAACAAAGCTTAAATATAACAGAAAATGGAAAAGAAACTAAAGATCAACAAAACAGTTGGCATAGATAACTGAAAAATCAAAAAGAAAAGGGGAGAACCCTAACAAGAGCAGTGAAGAGAGAGATAGAGGGACGGCGGCTGGTACTATAAAAAAGGAAGATACTGTGCCAGAAGTGCAGGTGTTTTAAAAGTCAAAAGTGTTATACTTAATACCTGAAGTATTGTTTCAGATTATGATAGAAATAAGTTCAAAAGCTGTCTTTCCATAACAAGTATGAACAGATTAGGCACAATCATTAGTGTAATATTTTAAATAATGAAGTAAATATGAAGCAACTTATTCCAATAATTTTGGGATGTCTTTTGTGACACATTTCTAACTGCTTAGATAAAAGCTTCAAAAGAAAATCAATAAAAATCAACTTTAAAAGTTTATAATGCCTGAAATGTCTGGTATGGAAGAGAAATGCACCGACTAGTGATATTGATGCTGTTTTTGCTGCTTAAGACTGAATCGGGACAGATTCAAAAAATAGAATTATCTGCTAACACCCATGAGAAGTGACTGACTCTTGACCTCAGTATTTTTTAGGCACTGCATAGGGCCCTGAAGAGGACTGAAAACAAATTAAATCCCAGGTATTTAGAATAGGATGTATACAGTATTTGACAGTGTTGTGCTTTTTTATCTGACTTGATGAGGATAAGAAAAAATACAGAGAAGTGTATTTTCTTTTTTATTGTATAATGTGATGATTTAATGCATTAAAGAATGGATCTTCCTGCATGTTGGGTTGAAGGTTTAATTTTCCAATGCAAAAAAGGTTCCCTTTTGTCCATAAATGATGTTGCACACATTCTAACTGCTCAGCAGGTTTGCATGTATTTGTGTTCACTGTATATGTGGGCAGGAATACTGTCGGGTTCAGAGTTCAGCTGAAGAAGGCCAAGTCCAATCATATGCCCATGATTGCAACCACACCCCCCCTCCACATCTTAGTATTCATAGCACAGAGCACAACACAGCTCTCCATTCATTCGCACTGTGTGAGCTCTAACACGGAGGGAGGCGAGACAAGGGTCAAACAGGACAGGAAAGGACAGGGTGTATCAGATCACTCTGGTTTTTAGGCTTTTGTTTGTGTTGTGCAGTTGGCTTTTGTTTTATTTGTTCTAGAAAGCAAAAAAAAGGTTGTCTAAAAGCAAGGCCTCGAAAACAGGGAGTTAGCATGTACAGAGAGGGAGAATGTGGAGAAAGACAGAATGTAGTCCAGATGAGAGTACGATTGTTAAATGTGTTAAAAGGAAACTCAAGCAGTGATAATAAGTGTTCATGGCACCCAGGGGTGAGGGATCTCTCACTCACTTAATAAACTATTGATACTCTGTAATCCACTTATACTAGGGTATCAGGGTGTCATCGCAGAGTATCATCATTTTCAGTTTACAAGTGATGACAGTAAAGTTTTAGGTCACCCAAACAAGAGACTCATATTTCTGGAAAAACTAGTATCTGTTTATTCCACACTGAAGTAAAGAGTTAAAAAACATAGCTTCAAGAATCCATTATGAGCATTAGAGAGGCTTAGTAATAAATAATGTTTGGTAATGAGATCTCAGTTACAAACCATGCCACCCTGAAGAAGATTAACTTGTTTGCAATCAAGGCTTGTGCTTGCTGTACAATGCTTCACATTATAGTCCGGTTTTGTTTGAGATAAAATGGCTTTTTATGTTTTGAAATTTGGGATTAGGAATTCCGTTTTTTGTTTTTAGTTATTCACATGTTTACACAAGAAAATAAATGGTTTTAAACTCCTAGACTTCCTTCTTTTTCTAACCAATTTGTTTTCAACATCAAACCCCAAACTTTGATTGCTTTATGGTTTTAATATGTAGTGGTTTCTGAAAGAAACACCCAAAGATTGCCTTTTTTACACTATGATAATTTACAGAACATACAGTATATATATATATAAAAAATGACTACCCTATATTAGTGCTTTATTTTAAGTACACTGACTCTTTAAGAGAGATTACAATAACAACTGGAGTAAGGTATACACTAAGTAGGAGTTAATTTAATGCTTATTCAGAGCGGGACCAAATGCACTTGGATTGGTGTTACCTTTGACTCTTAAAGTGTTACTTTAATACTGTAAAATGACATGTGTTTCTATAGCCCACTGTCCTGCACATGAAGTTCTAGAGCCCAGCTCTGGTTTGGGTCCCGTTGTACGACATGACAGGAAGTATCCAACACCCAATATAGTCTTCCTATTGGCATGAACATTATTATAAACAGTGAAAAACTTTGTTTAGGAAATCTTAACCTCCTATATCAACCAAGAATTGGAAGATCTAAGATAAAGTTTACAGAAAACGAGATTCAGTTGGTTTGGCAAATTGTTGCTGCATGTCTATATGAGGATGCAGCTGATATACTCACAAACAAACACAACCACATATGCAACATGTCTAGATTCGTACAAGTTGCAACTTGGAGAGGGATCAGAACATTAACGTAAAATTCTACACACCTTACAAAAACCCCCATATTATATTTAGTTTGCATGGGAAACCGCCCGACCTATTTCAGATGATTTCAAAAATATATTAAAAGAAAACACCCTGATCAGGTTCATTTTTTTAAGGTCGATCATGAAGTGACAGTGTGTCGCCAATAGATTTCCTTCTTATTCTAACCAATTTGTTTTTTTTTAGATCGATCATGAAGTGACAGATAGATGCTTACTTTTGCCAAAAGAAATGCAAAGTAAGCATCATAACAATTGATCTATACACCATATTACTGTGAATTGTAGAAATTTCTTGCCACTATGTTAGTTTCAATTCAATTTCAATTTAATTCAGCTTATTTCTATAGCGCCAATTCAAAACACAAATCATCTCAAGGCACTTTACAGTTCAACCAGGTCATACAGTCAAATTGATTCAAAATGTTCTATCTAAGGAAAACTAGTTGATTGCATCGACTCATTGATTGTTTTTCTCAAATTTAACATTATGGAAACAATAAATCCCCTCAATCTTATTATTTTATTTTGCATGTTATAAATAAACTAGCATGATCTTCCAAGAGTGGCTGAAATAGTGGAAGCTTCTATTTTAACAATGTGGATACTGATAGTGAAGAAAAACATCTTAAATGGATCGCTGTGATGGCCTAAAAATGTGCTTTTGATCCCGTAATTCATTTCTTCTGTTGTCCATGTTCTACCTTTCCAGCTAAATGTTCCATTTGGTCATCTTCCCATTGATGTAAACATTACATTTTTTACACTGGTTGCTTTTCACTGTTTTGTTCGGAGCATTCCTCTGCCCTTTTTTTAATGCCACCTCCCTTTATTTCAAATTTTAAACCTATTTTCCACATTTTGTCTTTTTCTCAGGGTGTGATAGTCCCTCTCTCTGTTTCCAACTCTCTGCAGTGCTAGCTATGACTTCAGCCACTCCACCATCCTCTGAAGACTCCACCCCACAGAAAGTTTGCCATTCCCAGACACAGACTGACATCAGCAAGCCCCTGATGAGCTCCACAGGGGGAACAGGGGTTCCTGCTGTAGGAACAGGAGCTGGAGGGCACAACGCACTGCGCAGGAGACGCAGAGTCCTCTCTAAAGATGGACGAAGCAATGTCCACATAGAGCATGTCAGTGGCAGAGGGGCCCTCTACCTCCGTGACCTCTGGACAACTTTCTTGGACATGCAGTGGCGCTACAAGTTCTTCTTTTTTACTGCAACTTTTGCTGGGACCTGGTTCCTGTTTGGGGTGTTTTGGTACCTGGTGGCCCTTGCACATGGAGACCTGCTTGGTAAACATGACTTCACCATGATACTCACATGGCCATGCGCCTCGTTTACTATTGTAGGTGGTGCTGCATTTCCTTAAATGAATGCATGACAAAAGCTTTTTTGACATAATCATTTTCTAAAATGACCAAACTTCCTCCAAGTGAGGGTTTTGCTACATTTATATTTTTGTTGTAGAATTTTTTGTTAAAATCCTTGCAAATTTCTAACTGCAGACCTACACTGTCAGGACCCTTCATTGCAGACCTGCACTGTCAGGACCGGAAGTTTATTCAAAGCCTTTCAAAGTAAAAGTGAAGTAAAATAAAAGCTACACTGGAAATATTTTACATTCCCATGTTTATTTCCTGGGTGTACACAATAGAAATACATTTGTCTGTTCATGTGTTTAACAATATATATATATATA